GATATCTTCTACGGCTTACCTGGCACAGGTGTCAAGTAGATGATGGTCGCGACCACGGAACCGAGCCCGATGAAAATCCCACATCTGAAGAGCATCGTGGTCGAGAAAATCGGTGTCGAGATATGCGCGAGAGCAGCCGAGGAGGCAAGCGAGTGTCGGACTAGCCGGTGTCGTGGTCGCGGACATACTAGCACTGCTCAAGCAAGTTCATTGCCAAGAAGAGAGAGTCGATTGCCGATTAAAAGAAAGATCTTTCAAGTGAAGCACTAACGCTCTTGTATACTGTCATGCTTCGCGTACGAGGCCTCTTAGCGTGTTCGTCATTATTTGCACGTGGGTGGATGGATCTCCCGGAATTATCACGGTTTACTTGACAATCTTTGGGAAGATTGCGATCACCTCCGGTGACCCTTGTAATAAAATGTTGTTTTCACTTCCAGTTCTCATTTCCACGGTGTATCCTTATACAAGAGAAAAGCGCGAGATGAGCTGTCATTAGTCAACTACGCAAAAATTGATTAATTACTATTGATGTGTCCGATTTATAAATTATGTTTTTCACACATGAAAGCTGAAGCAATTAAGACTGCGTAATGTGTACTTAATTAGCTTTCTTAGGTTTTTGTTTTTTTTTCTATTGCTTTCATTCTTACATTATCGTAATTTAAATCTGTTTAAATGTATTGTGATCAATAATATGATAATGCTGATCCAACAAGTTTTCTTTTATCCATATTCTCAGGCTTATGATTACAGAGAATATTTAAAGTCGTGTTAATTAAACTATTTAACAGGAATTAATTCGCGCAACGATATTGACAGGAAACACAAAGTTGAAACGAAAGTATATATAATGAGTGCAACTTGCTTAATATAAACTGGATATAAACTGAAATATAAACTGGAAATATTGATCAAGTTATTAGAATACTATAGTTGCGTTTGTGATTTATTAAATTTTATTTCATAAGAATATTCTATTGATATCCTATCGTATTATTTTTCTCATTAAATATTCTTATTATTGATTGCAATATTTAAACAGATCCAACATTATGTTATGAACGATATAATATAACATTAATTTAATTTTTTTTATCGAAAATTATATTAAAATGTCTTTTGATAAATAAGTAATTGAACTCGAATTTTAAAGAAAAAGATGTATTTCAAATACAAATAAAAGACAAAATTTTTATTCTAAATTTTGTCGAAAAAAGTAATGGCATTCAGAGATGAAAAAACGTTTAACTTTTAAAAAAAGATTATTAATAAGTTTAAGTTTAAGAAATAATTAATTTTAAAGTAAAAATTAATTAGTTTTAAATTAAATAAGCTAAAAAATTATTAACTTTTTAACTGTTTATTACCCAATCTTGCATGCAACTATATAATAATACAAGTAAAAGGTTACGAATAGATATAGATATATATGTTGCTCTTAAAAATAACATATATATTTAGTTTGAATCTTTTCAGTGCTTTGTAAAATTCTTATTTTCATACTTGTGTATATATATATATACACACACTTTTTATATATTTGCACATATATTTACGTAGATTATATACATATTTTTATCACTTTTAAAATGTTATTGTAAATACATAATGAAAAATAATGACATTCGAGACAAATTGAACAAATTTAAACTGTGTACATGTCATTTTCAACAAAAATATTGTATATCTATTCGCGATTATTTTGTTTTATTAAGTTCAAATATCACTTCTCGCGCGATTGGAAACACATCTTCTCTTCATAATTAAAATACAATCGGTTATAGTAAAGAAAACACCATATATCGACAATGCAAAAGTTCAAGAAAACTGGACAATGAGATATTTTACAATGAATAATAATAATGTAACATGTAACGTGTGTCTACAAGAGTTTATGATGTTTCAAAATTTGAATAATTTCATGATACACATAAAGAGGAAACATTTAAATCGCTGGAATAAGTATAAGTGCAATAATAATAATTGGATGATTTTTTTGTGGAATCTCTTTTTCTACATATCAAAAAATGATGTCGCACAGTGTCGTTCCTGTGTGAAAATATATCATCTAGACGATAATGTTTTGTGGACAATAAAAAAACATTTAATAGATGTTCATGTAAAAGTTAACAATTATAATTATACTATCAAAAATTGGTTAAGAAGATCCTATAAAGTAATTTCACGTGATAACTGGGGTAGACCAAGGATTAAACAATGTAATATATGCAAACAAATATTTTGTCCATATAGACGAACATCAGATTTATTTGCGCATTTGATCTTTGACGACGACTTAATTCCTCCAGCTACAATACAATTTAGAAGATGTAATAGAGAAGCAGAATGATCGTTAAATTTTAGTAGTAAGTTTTATGATTGATAAAATACTGTAGAGTTTTTTAATTACTCCTTAATTACTTGCATGCACTTTTATATGTAAAATAATTAATATGCATACACATTAGTTTTAATAAATGTTAGCACTTTATAAAAAATTATAAATAATCGAATCTGTTACACTCATTCTGCTATAACATATGTTTTGTATTTTAATATATTTAAATATGTCATATACTTGTTGTTTATTATAATTTGAATATATAATCTGAATCACTATTTTGAAAATATGTGTGCAATAAATGTATATTTATATAAAAGTAAGAATCTCTGTTTCGTTCAGGAAAATATTCTCGTGTTCTCTCGAATATATATATATATATTCGAGAGAACACGAGAATATTTTCCTGCTATATGCTAAATGCTATTTGTGGATTAACATTTTCTAAAACATTTTTATCTCTACTAATTGTAATATTTGAAATTTATTTGTTATATATATATATATATAAGTAGGTATAATAAGATTTACTTTTTTTATAGTTATTTATCTTTTTGGAATATATTTTATTATATTACATATTATATATATATATATATATTCGAGAGAACACGAGAATATTTTCCTGAACGAAACAGAGATTCTCACTTTTATATATATATATATATATATATATGAATTATAAGATAAAGTTTAAGAGTAATAATTTTTAATCTGTAATTTAAACAAGGCACGTAATCAAAAAGATCTTCATTCATAATACTAATTATTCCAAATCTAATCACTAATTTCATTTTCTATGTAAATATAAGTTAACAAGTCGTCATATGTTTAAGGTTTAACAACAAGGACACAGGTTTTGAAATATTAAAAATAATATGTGTTTATCATGGACATGAACAATAATAACAGCATTTTTATTTTAATGACTTAAATCATGTCTCACACAAACGAACGAAGCATATTGATAAAATAAGATCAAAACTGATTTCTTTGACAAATTTATCGCTTTATCTTTATAATATATATGGCGTAAATGAATTTAGAATTGGAACAAATTAACTGCAAACTTATATTATTTTAATTATCTTTTAATGGTAAGCATCATCACACATTTAAATATTTAAATATGTCTTTATCTAGATATTGGTTATTTTTGATGTATTTTATAAAACATAATTAACTTGTCATAAATTTATATAATTATATTTTTTACAGATATCTATCATATTATACTTTAGGTATTTTATGTCTTGTATAATCTATATAGTTATATATTTATATTTATACAAATATAATATATAATATATAATATATATATATATAGCGCAAAATAATCTCATAACTGTAACTAATTATTTGTAAACATATATATTTTAAATAAAGTATACACTGTAAAAAAATTTGTAAAATTACATTTAAAATATGTAAAATTACATAAATAATAAATGTAAAATTACATGATAAATAATAAAAAGGTAAGCATTTCTATTATTTATTGTGTAATTTTACATATTTTTGTGTAATATATTACATATTTTTTTACAGTGTAGATACGCACATTTGAAAAAGTCTTTTATCTAGATATCCATTATTTTTTATATAACATATTTATATATATATTCTAATTTATATATAATATATGTGTACAACACATTTTATATAAATATTTTTGTATATTATATATAAAATATCTTGTATAATTATATATTCTACATAAATACTTTTAACAAAATGTATTAAAAATAATATAAGTTTATGTTTTCAAATGTAAATGTTCAATTTGTTTAAATAAATGTATACATTCTTATAAAAAGTTATATGAATATAACATATCAAAAATATAAAGTTGCTAAATTATAATTAATAAGATTATATTTTACATAAGCAAATACTGTTTCTTATACAAACTTATTATTGTTTCAAAACAAAAATATATTATATGTATATAATATTATCCTCTTTACCATATAATTAACAATAATCCAAACGTCTGAAAAATACTTTTCTATTTTAAAGATTTTGTTAATTCATAATCTATAATATTTCCTTTCAATTATATTTACAATTATATTTAAAAACTCATATGATTGATTAACTCTTTCTTTATTCAAAAGTGTAAATTTCTTTTTTGTAAAGCTAATGGAAAAGAAATCCATCTCAATTAAAAACAAAAACAAACGAATTTTTAATTGCAACGATATCAATATTCATCTATAAAAAGTATCAAATATACAGCTTCTTCATAAATAAAATTAATTTCCATTTGAAAAATGCTATTTGTGGATTAACATTTTCTAAAACATTTTTATCTCTACTAATTGTAATATTTGAAATTTATTTGTTATATATATATATATATAAGTAGGTATAATAAGATTTACTTTTTTTATAGTTATTTATCTTTTTGGAATATATTTTATTATATTACATATTATATATATATATATATATATATATATATATATATATATATACATACATATATTTTATTATATATATATATATATTGATATATGTAAAAAAATTTTAATACTGCATCTACATATTTAAATTTTATTACATTTAAATTTAAATACATTTAAAAAATTTTAATACTGTATGACATACATACATATATATATATATGTGTGTGTGTGTGTGTGTGTGTAAAATGGCGGTATCGTTGTAAAGAACAAAAGAACAGAGTGCACGTTGTCGTTTATCTCACACTGTTTTGCACATATCTAAAAGAATATTATTATGATTGAAGTTACGAATGAAAATTTTAGCACGATATATCCGCATTTGGAACGTGCATTGAAAGATGCGAGTTTCATAGGGATTGATACGGAATTGACAGGTATAAATGTCGAGGATGTGAAAAATAGGTTAGTTTTGAAACTTCCTAAATACATGCTCGAATAATATCTTTAGGGAATTTTAATATCATTTCTTTATCATTGCAGTTTGTTTGACTCCATAGAGGAGCGTTATAAGAACCAGAGATGCAATATTCAGTCGTACACAATAATTCAATTTGGTATTACTGCATTCCAACGAGTCCAGAATGAAAATCAGTACACAGCGGAGGCCTTCAATTTCTTTCTGCTGCCTAAGTCTCTTCCTATTCTGTCAAAGAGTAGACAGATTGTTTGGCATATTGCTGCATTAGAGTTCCTGACTACGTATGACTTTGATTTCAACAAAGTATATTGCATTCGTTATGAATTACTTGTAGACTTTAAGAACGAAACACAGCATGTAGTTCAAATTGAAATTCCATTTCACTTTGCTATTGAAAGACTAACAATAAATGTGTATTCAAAACTTTCAGCTTGCTTATAAAGGCATTTCGTATCTCAATGAGGCTGACGAAGCAATCTTGCAGAAACAATTACAGGAGAATGTATTATTTCGCAATGTGGAGAGATCTATATCTTTCCAAGAGGAAGATACTCTCAAAGATTATATCAATCAAGTATCCGAATGGTTGAATACAGCAGGTGACGAAGAAAGTTCTTTTAAAATTGACACTCCTACTCCACTTTTTCAATATCTTATGCACAAGGAGTTAAGAAATTGTTTCCCAAATGTTTGGACCTTCTCAGGAAATAATATGGTATAGTAATCATTTTGTTTCTTACGAGAGACATAAGAAAGCTCAATTATTTTTCAAAGTTCTTAAACTTTCTAATTTTTTAGGTTACAGTTATGAAGATCCCACCAGATTCGAGAAAAGTTTTGGAACAAGAAGAAGGTTTTATACTAGAAAATGTATTACTCGAATCATACATAGGTTTTTCAAAGGTGTTTAAACTTCTGGTTTCTTTGAAAAAACCTATAATAGTGCATAATGCTATGTTAGATTTAATGTTTATACATCAACAGTTTTATAAGCCATTACCACGTATGTATAACATGAAAAATAATTTATCTTCTCTATAAATTAGAAATAATAAAACAACATGAGCCTATTACGAGCTAAGTGAATTGATGTCAAACATATATATTTCCAAACTTTACATCAAATCGTATAAATCTACTTTACAATGATACAATGAGACGTTTCGACGCTTACTTGCTTCTCTTCAGTCATAATTAGTTAAAACATAGTGAAATGTTGGTTAAGCCAGTACAATGTGATCCGTATTAAGTCAATTCTCCTCTAATATGTCCTAGGTCTCTAGTTATATTATAAGTTACTTGAATTTCGGTTATATTGTTTGAAGAAGTGTTATATGTAATAAAAAATTTTAATAATAGAAATCGCGAGACCTAGGACATATTAGAGGAGAATTGACTTTATACGGATCACATCGTACTGACTTAACCAACGTTTCACTATGTTTTAACTAATTATGACTGAAGAGACGCAAGTAAGTGTCGAAACGTCTCATTGTATCATTGTAAAGTAGATTTATACGATTTGATGTAAAGTTTGGAAATATATATGTTTGACATCAATTCACATAGCTCGTAATAGGCTCATGTTGTTTTGTTATCTCTAATTTATAAATTAACGAGCTTATTCATTCATTTAATTTATATGTTTATCTTCTCTATTTGCGATGCAGTGAAAAAAAAATTTAATTAATGAATAATACATTTTTTGCAGAAAAATACACTGATTTCAAGCATAATATACATCAGCTATTTCCAACAGTTTATGATACAAAACATTTAAGTTTTGAATGAGAGAGATTCTTCCAACAGAACGTAATTTAGAAAATTATTATTAATTTAAAAAATTATAATACATTGTACAATTTCAAGTATATTAATGATATTCTTATTATCTTTGCAGAAAAATGGAAACATAATTCTCTAAGCGGCTTAGTTGAATATTTTACAGAGAAACATTTAACACTTGGATCACCTAAAATTAATCTCCTTTGTAAAATAAATTCAGACAAATCGGATGGTAGATACTTTTTATGCATATATTGATTGTATGCAATTTTATGGCTAATTTAAATTTTGTAAAATTTTTATATTTTTTTTAGTTATTGTACCTTTAACGAAATACCATACTGCAGGATGGGATTCTTACTTTGCTGGTTATGTATTTATTAAAATGGCTCATATATTTACCACAAAACATTATGAACAGTATGTTACATGTTTTGTACACAAAGTCGATAATTATTTATTTTTATTTCTAATAAAAGTATAGATATTATATAAATTAAAATATATATTGCTATGAGTAGGGTATATAGAAAAATCTTATGTTTTAGAGGCTTAACATTGAAGCATTTTACACATACAGAACTAATGAACAATATAAAATGTTTCGCAAATGGTATAAACATTATCCGTGGCAGTACAAATTATTTGGTAAGAAAAATGCAAAGTATCAATTGTGAATGGAAATATACTCTATAAAAAGAGAACAACCGAATGCATATTACATATATTCTTTTACAAAAAGAAAACGACACATTATGATATTCCCAGAGACTTGACGGACCCGAACCTGTATCGACTCGACCGAAATGGCTTTATGTGAAAATGTTAGCGTCAAAGCCGATATCTGCTTTGCAGGTATTGTACCTAATTATTACAGATAACTATGTAATACGTTGTAGGATTCTAAGCACTTTCGTATATTACAATATATGCAAGATATGAATAATCAGTCTACATTGTTATGAAATATTTGCACAGGTAGCAGAAAAAATGTCGACATTCGGTGCGGTTGACGTGAAGCAATATACATCGAAGCGAGTGTTAGTTGCAGTAGCAAATCACGGAAGGTGAGTGATCCATACTGTTTTATCAAATCTTTTTCTCTTTCTTATTTTGATTTTTGTTAAAATCAAAATAAGAAATTGAATAATTTCAATATTCTGTATAATATTACGTGTATATATAAATATAAATATATTGTTAAACATTTTTCGCCCAAAATCTTGTATGAGAAAAATAGGACAACTTTATATATTGAAAAAGAAATGATTCCTGCCAACTGCGTTCAATTTCGAGATATCCTTAAAATAGTGTAACATTGCATTAATGCAACGCGTAGAAAAAAATTTCACCAAATTCGCTATCTTTAAAATGCTTTATTTCTTCTATATTCACAAATAGAAATAAATAATCGACGGAAGGGAGGGAAAAGATATAATAATATAAAACTACTTCGGTAGCGGAACTATTTTGGATGCCTTCCAAGGGCAACTAATGCATTGCATAAAGTGATTTAGTATTTTCATTTTCATACAAAACAGTTATACTGTCAAAACATTTTCACTTGCATCTTTCTTAAAATGCGAGTGAATAAAAAATGTATATGTCACTTAATATTATTTAAGAAGGTCTTCTAGCGTAAACACACAGGCGTTATTTTTTTGTTTATATGAAATTTTTTATACAGAATCTATAAAAGCTTTTTGTATCGGCATTTTTTTCTACATATTTATTAGTATCTACAAAGTGTTCACAAATTTCTTTAGTACAAAAAAATAAAAATTAGCTGCAGTGGACCGCTTTAAAATTATCGATGAAAAAAAAGTTGGTGCATGATGTCCATGATTGGGTCAGTTCTGTTCATTTGAAAAAAAAATCAAAATGATTACCACTGTAGTTAATTTTTATTTTTTATAACAAAAAAATTTGTGAACACACTGTAGATACTAATAAATATGTAGAAAAAATTCCGATAGAGAAAGCTTTTATGAATCCTGTATAAAAAATTTAAAAAAAAAACGAAAAAATAAAGCTTGTACACTAGAAAATTCCTTTAATTCAAAATGAGACTGAAAAGATATGTACATAATAAATTTTTGATAAATATGGTATTGAAAAGAAAAATTATATAATTCTTTAATATTTATCATTGTAAAAATACGAATATAAATCAAAAATAAAATTCGATATACCATTATTCAAGCATGATGAAATTAATGGAATAATTTATCAAGGCTTGAAAAAACAGAATAACTTTTCTTTCTGTTCCCGCTTTCTTTAATTATTATATCAAATGAAAAATACGCCCATAATAATATGTTATAAATTGCAGTTTTAGATGAATTAATGAGCTATTTGATCGAAATCGAAATGTTTATATAATTTTATTAGTAATTTATATAATTATGTAATTAATTTATAAAATTGATTTATATAATTAATTAATATAATTATAGTAGTTTATATAATAATTTTATTAGTATAATTATATAATAGAAGAGGTAAGACTATCGATCGGCATTCATTTGATTGGCGCGATGTTACATTGAATTATCATTTTACGTTCACCCGGCGATTCGCAACACATGTTCCATTTTAGTTTATTTCCTCGGTCTGATTATACGATCGATTTCAATCGACCTGGTTTGTCTAATTCAGATAGTATGCAAACACAAACCGTGGGATATCGCCAATACTGTGAATCCATTACTATTTCGCTTGTTTGTCGGAACACAGTGTTGAGACAGCGAACGCGTTAAGTATCTCGCGGCCATTTAAACGCTGCAGGGGTTCGTGGCAAAACGTACACTTTACATATATATTTTTTTGATTTAACGAAGTAGGACAATATTTTGTGCGATCTGATCTATTGTCGCAGAATTCGCAAAATTCCCTCGTCAATTTCGCGAATATTTTTCTCTCCTTTCGTTTTGTCTTCTTTATATTAAAATTAATGACCATCTCGTAGAATTTTTGTTCTTTTTACAATAAAAGTTTTCCGTAAAATTACCCGTACAAATAATTGACTCGTCGCTGTCACGTTGCGCGTAGGATTTTCTTCGTCATTGGCATCGTTCCCATCTTTATGTCGCTTTTACCAACGAACTTTTGTGGATATATTTACAGCGCTTATTAAAAGATCGCCACTGTCTACACCACCGTGTGTACATTATTATTAACGGTCTATTATTGTGACCTGCTGTGTGCCACACGTGTGCAACTTTTGTCACGCGAAATTGGCTTGACGCGTAATTACGTTTATGTCTTGTCGATCGAAAAACGTCGCGTTGTTATACATCCTCATCTGCGACGCAATGATCAAGAACGATTTTCCTCGGTCGTTTTACAGCGCACGAGACATATTACAGCACTTCAAAAAAAACAAGGAACTTTACGTCGTCCCTTATAATCCGATACGGCACTCACCTTCGATCCAATTCGTATTTTGGTACGTATAAAAAATCAATATGCAAAATTGTATAATATAATAGTTCGATATAAATTTCGAATTCCTGGTTGCTCTTAAGCATAAATTTCAAATGTACACGGAGAGAATTCTCTCTTAGAATTTGGAAGAATTTTATATTTTTTTTATTTCTCTGATTAATATTTAATTATATCCAATAATATTTAATTCATCACAATAAAAGATGTTAATATATGTACATAGTAAAATCAATCGAACATATTTTATTACCATGATTTTCAGGATAAATTGTAAGAGAAAATTCTTTCTGTGTAGAGGATATGCAAATAAATTTAGATGTATAAATTAGATATATAAATTTAGATATATAAATTTAGATATTTAGATAAATAAATATAGATTGAAATCATCTCTTCATTTAATTTTGTGAAAATCTGCGACGCTTAAACGCGAAAGGAGAATTGAATTCTCGTCTCAAGTACGGCTACTCGTGTTCACTAATTATGCTATATAGCTACATGTCCGAGAACTATCGAGGGATCCATCATCCGCGACAGTTTTTGGGACGTCACGTTTCCACGTGCGTCGATTTCGTTCGGAACGTATCGCGATGTCGTAATCGGGATTTTAATCGGTGATCGATGCGTTGAGGTCGATCCAATTCCTATTAGTGGTGGCAAACGAACGTGAACGCCGAGTTACGTCAAACAAATTAATGATTCTCGACGGACCGCAGCCGCGCGCGCTTCGTAAAGTCCCCCAATTAACGTTGACGTTCCCGTGGATGTAAATTCGCGCTGCCAATTGTTGCGAAGGCATTATACGACGACGTCCTGCTCGTCGATTACCTAACACTCGGGTGAAAGACTCGCCGCCGACGCTTATTACGGCTGCGATTTTCCGCTTCCATCTCAATATCAATCCGCGAATCATTATGCGTTTCGCGTGCAATACGCGTGAAGATGTTAAATTTGGATCGTCGCGATTCTCTCCCGTTTTTCTCTCGCGCGAGCACGTCATATCACCAAGTTGGACATACGAGATTTCCTTGATTTTTCACCCTGCAGACGTTTTTAGAACATTCAATTTTAAACTCTTTATGATCGCGACGTTCTCCTTGAATAGAACGCTTGTTCAAATATATGTTCCATGAGAAGATGCAACGAAATTAATTTTTCCTAAAGCTGTGCTTTAATTTGATGAAAGCGTTTTATAGCGCTTAAAAAATTAATTGGGATATATCGTTGTTTTAGTTTCAAATATTTGTATTACGAAAATAATTTATCGTCATTCATAATTTGTGTATTTTATTATTTATTAATTTCCTTATTGTTTTATTTGTGCGAAAATATGTTTTATGCGCAGAAAGAATTTTCTCCTAGAATTTACCCTGAAAATTATGATAATTGTAGGATGATATGGTATTTCAGAAGAATTTCATGAGTTTCTTTGATTAAATATTTTTGTCACAATAAAAAATATTAATATATGTCAACATAAAATATGTTAAATATAGTAAAATTTATTATGTACATTATTAATATTTTTTTATCGTAAAATAAATATTAATCAGAGAAACTTCAATATCATATATATTGTCCCATAATTAACATAATTTTCAGGATAAATTCTAAGAGAAAATTTTCTTCGTGTAAGTTTGTATCACATAATCGACTGATTTTTTTTAAACCAGGGGCAGCATAGTCGTTTCTAGCGGGATCCTCGCTTTGATGCTGCATCAGAAGTTTCAGAGAGGCTCTTAGATAATTTGTTAATATTTTTAAGAAAATGTTTAGGACGAAGATATATATTCCAAAAATTTAGAAATATATATTATTTGCAATAAGTTTAAACAAATGACTTAAAGTATATTTTTTATCCTTAAATTACGACCCTCATTGAAAGCTCGATACCAAGTTGGCGAACGGATTTATCGGATCTGTCATTAAAATTTGCGGCTCCGAAACACTCGATTTATATAAATTACCATTTTCGATGGACAACAAAGTTATGTAAAAAATGTTTTTTATAAATATAACAAAATGGAAGATAAAATACTTTGAACTTCCTAGCATGATATATTGCTTCATCCTTAAATTACGACCCTCGTTGAAAGCTCGATACCAAGTTGGCGAACGGATTTATCGGATCTGTCATTAAAATTTGCGGCTCCAAAACACTTGATTTATATAAATTACCATTTTCGATAGACAACAAAGTTATGTAAAAAATGTTTTTTATAAATATAACAAAATGGAAGATGAAATACTTTGAACTTCCTAGCATGATATATTGCTTCATCCTTAAATTACGACCCTCGTTGAAAGCTCGATACCAAATTGGCGAACGGATTTATCGGATCTGTCATTAAAATTTGCGGCTCCGAAACGTTCGATGTATAAATTACCATTTTTGACGGACAACAAAGTTATTCATGGATCCTGTAAAATCGAGCAAACACGCACACGCAGATCGTAATAGGGGAACCGTAGAGGCCCGCCGAGGTACAGAAATGACAAGCATTTTACGCTTCACCGCAATGTGCCCGTCGCCATTCTGTTTAAATTTAAGATTCAGCTCGGGAGCGGAATCTTTGCGGCAGTTGTTATTATTATGACTCGTGGCGAGAGCTCGACGAGTTTTAAGTCGGCCGGAGCTTAAAGCTCGTTTTCGAACCGAGAGCAGGAAGTGCTTCTCCACGCTCGTTTGCCAAAGAAACGCTCCCTCTCCTTCCTTTTTTTCTCTCTGTAAAAAAAAAAAACAATTATCCCCACATATTATCACGTCGGTCCATCCGTCATATTTCTTATTTTCACCCCGAATAATCATCCACTCGTGACGTGACGTTAAAATTCCACAAGTGTGAGAAACGACTTTTCGCGAAAATTTAAATGCGAAAAGCAGCATTAGACAAATTTCTCGCCATAAAATGGGAAAGAATATTTGTTCTGTATTTAACGCACGTCTATTCGGGCGTATAGAGAGAACTATGGCAACGGACGATGATACATTCTACGATGAAAGCGCAAAGATACACGAGTACTTCTCGTCCGCAGGAGGAAGAATCCCGCGATATCTCCGCGAAAAGTTTTCTCTGGCCGCTACCCAAGGCCAAAGCACTCGAAATAATGCGGTAGCAATTCGTGTGGGCGGTCGGACAGTCAGCTTCGGTCGGCGCTGGTGCCCGATGACAGGTGCGGACTCCTCGGGATGAATCCCTTCCATCTCGCTCACGCGCCGCGTAGACGAGGTAAAGGTCGTCCGCGTGGGCTCGAACCCAGGGCTACGGAATTGGGTTAATCAAACTGCGAAGTTCCCCACCGGTAATCCGTTTATCCTTCGTCGAGGCGCGTTTCCTCACAACTGTCGATTGTTGTCGCGAGACTGACTCCAGTCGATCCTTCAAGACAAAGACTATATGGAGAATGAAAGTAAAGGGGTTGCTTATCGCAGAAAGATTTTTATGCCGGGGATTTTGTAAATTATTCAGAGTACGCTTTTATTGGAATCGCGAAAAGCTGGCGCTAAATTTTTGGTTAATACATACAGGATGGTTTATTATAGCCGCGTATTGAATTTTAAAAATATATTATTTAAATAGAAAAAGTATTGAGGCAGTCCTCATTTATATTGGCCATTTGTAATTTTTGCTCTAGAAATCTTTATAACAATATATTGAGCGTGGGAAAAATCGCGTGAATTTATATTATTTATTCTTCTCTCATATCTGAGTTGTTTATTACGTTATTATATTTACTGTGATAATTATTTTCTTCTTCATCACATTTTTACTTGGTTATCATAAATGTATGTTTAAAAATAAAATATAAGAAATATGCATACACCGCATATATAAAATATGAATAAAATCGAAATATGTGAACTGTTTAATATATATATATATATATATATATATATATATATATATATATATATATAAGTATATTTACAAGTTATTTAAATAACTTGCAGTTAATTTTTCTGCAATGAGAATTTAATGAATATTTTTTTAATATTACATATTTTTATGACAGAAAAAAATATCTTCGAGTTATGGAAGAGAATACGAGGACTTTATTAATTAAACAAATTTATGCTATATTTTTTACTGATCTTAATATTGTTTAATCCAGTGGTTTTTACTCCGATAATTTTTTGCGTTGAGGGAAGACCGAATTGAGATATCAATCTCGTGTAATTGCACATGTGTAGGTGTACATTTTTGGCATACAATCAACGTATACAAATACAGAAAATATGACTTTGATATGGCTGGATATTTTTCAAATTTATAAAATCGGAGTTGTGTGTAACGCACGCGTTCAGCAAATGCATGTACGAGTATCTGAAGTTGAAGATGTTCTCTTCTCCCAAGAGACGTTACTAATTTTCAATCTACCGAAGCATCCATCATGCGCAAGTATGATAGCATATCATCGCAAAGTACCGCATACATTCTGTAAAATTTATTTGGTCGCCATTATACTCTTTCTACAAGTCTTCATATTACTCCATTGATCTACAAAATATTTCATATTTTTTCTAATATACGAGAAAAAAATGGTGCTTCAATGTCGAATTATAGTTAAATCAACAATTTTTAATTTTCTTTAAACCCTGAATGAAAATTACTATTTTATCATTAAATATTCTATTATATAAATATAGATATGATTTTGTTATTATAGTGATTTTTTTTAAATAGTACATTTTTTAACACAAAATCTTGTTCTTCCGAATACCAAATTTAGCAAATTATCCGGAATGAAAGACTAATGAGTCACATATCTTACATCAGGAATATCTTACATCAGAAATATCTTACATCAAACCGATTTGTCTTAATAATGTAACGTGCGGAACGACGACGAATCATCAATTCGAAGTGGGACAAAGCCACGAGTATTAATGGAATTTCCCTGAAAATTGGCTGCCGCCCGACAATGTCGTATCTACCTAAAGCAACGCGTGTCTGTTTCCACTTGAAAAGTGTTCTTCCCTTCAGCTCCATCGTCTCCCCGTTTATATCTCGCATTATGTATATATCGCGTGTCCTTTATCCTCGTCGCACGCCTTTTCTCCTTCTTTCTCTCGCGACCGAGCTCGTTCGTCGCCCGTATAATTGTATCTCGTGACTGCCAGAAATATGCTTTGCGAACCCACCTATCTGTTCGCCTTCACCTATCGGTGCCGTTCCCAGGACGACGGAGGAATCGCCCAGCACCGTAGAGACGATTGAAAATACTCCGTCGCGGGCTTCTCTCGGCGGATTTCGAAATCCTCGCCAAGATGCGGCATCGCGCCGCCTGGCATGCCTTTAGCACCTGTCGCATCGTTCCCGAACGACAGTGGAAATAGCTGTCGTGCACAGGAGACCGCGCAGAAGCTGAGGAGCGCGAGTAAAACACAGGCGCGCCGAGATGATCCCTCTCTTTCTTTCTTCCACTTGCCACTAACAATTCCAAAAAATTGGAGCTTCAATTATATATTTTTAAGTCTATTTTTTAGGCATCTAGGAAATATCATAAAAATTAAAAAATATTTATATAAAAAATTATTTATAAAAATGTTTTTACAAATATTTATATAAATAATTATATAAAAAATATTTGTAACAATATTTATATAAAAAATATTTGTAAAAATATTTATATAATGTTGGCTATATCCATCAGTTATAATTTTTAATAGACTTATACAGGGTGTATATCTAAATAAGTACGAAAAATTTTAGATGATTCTTTGTCGAAGATTAAGGGGGATTTCTTATATAAACATGTACTCTTATATTCAACCCTATAAGGAGTTACATTTTTCTAAAGAGGAATGTAAATATTTATTTTTTTCTCAAATTTCAGATAAATAAAAAAATGAAATTTTGTGAATATTTTTCGTTTCATTTTGTTTAATTTGTCTGAAATTTGAGAAACAAGTTTATACGAGGATATTTATATATGCGATATATGCATATTTTTTATATTTTAATACTTTTAAATATACATTTATGATAACCAAGTAAAAATGTGACGAAGAAGAAAATAATTATCACAGTAAATATAATAACGTAATAAACAACTCAGATATGAGAGAAGAATAAATAATATAAATTCACGCGATTTTTCCCACGCTCAATATATATTGTTCTAAAGATTTCTAAAGCAAAAGTTATACGAATGGCCAAAATAAATTAGGACTGTCTTAATACTTTTTATATAAAAGCTATCTATTTATATATTCGTCGCGGTGTCCGTTTATTTTAAAGAGGGATATATTATATAATCTGCGCGCGCGTGGATTCGATGAGACGTCTGTTAGATTACATCTGCTGTCCCTCATTTCGATGTGTTTGGAAAACTAAACAGACGCAACAGAGCGAAAACTCGAATTCTCGCGGCGATACACACTGTCGGATGATGAAAAGAATAAATAAGATTGATTCTATCTAGTCAGACACACCGGGGATCCTCGCGGATAGTCCCAACGGGTTTCTTGTTCACAAATTCTCTCCACGACTATTTCGGTCCTTAAGCTGAAACGCGGAAATAGCCTAGCCTAGCCCCTGGCCTAGAGCGTAGGCTTGACCGGCCGTAATAGCGGCTTTCTCAAGGATCCTTCGAAACGTCACGTTTCTTTTCGTAGATTAGCGAACACGGCATCAGGACAGAGTATTTTCTCGTGTCTGAAGAAAATTCGAACGGGTTTTCCGAAAGTAATATTAAAAAAAAAGTCGACGTTAAAGTGGGCGAAGGAATCCGCAGATGAAGCAAGAAGAAGAGGGAGAATGATATATATATATTTGTTTATATATGTATTTTTCGAAAATATATGTAGATTATATGGATGAGATATATAGAGAATCGGTTGCAAAATACATTGAATAATTTTGGCACTTTTCACTATTATATATATGATAAAGTGATTATAATATTGTCATAGCATGCTATGTAAAATTAAACTAATTTGTTAGAAAAATATTGCAAATAACCAAAAAACAACATTTTTTTTCAGATTGCGAATTTAAAAATCAAAAAATAATGAATTGATTATCTCGGTTATTAAAAGAGGTATAAATATATT